GCACATTTCCCAGCATCCCCTGAACAAGTCTCTCCTCCTAGTGGGCCTTCCATTCTGAGGAAGTTCTAAGAAATTCATCCTTTCATCTAACCATCTTGATGCATTTAGAACCTCCCAGAGCCTCACTGTCACAGACATTTCAGACTTAGGTAGGGCTTGACTCTTCTTACTGGAGAGGTAGGAAGGAGACAATCTCTGCAGAGAAATAGGGTCCATACATGGAACCCAGCCCCATCAACATAAATGGGATCTTCATTCCAGTAGCTCGACAGCAGGGAGCTGGACAAGATGACCTTTATAGATCCATCCCAGCTCTGGGTTCCTGCTGGAGTCGGGAAGACCCTTGGCTCTGCTGGAAACCGATGAGAGGAGGAGGGATGAAAGGAGAGCCTGAAGTGCTGGAAAGTCAAATGATCCACGATGCAGCAGCAGCTTGTTTTCCATGACCTTGGCCTCCTTTAAGCAAACTGCCTGTTAGTGATTAATTCAGGCCTTTTGTTCTTTCCCAGGAAGGTACCCACTGAGGAGACACTGAGCAGGAGACATCAAAGGACTGAGAATTTATCAGCCTTGCCTTGCTGCTCTTTGGAGGCAGCCTGGGCAGGGGGAGGAGAGCTTGCTCCTTCCTACCTGTGGCACCTCCTTCTGTCAGATCCAGAGTTGTTTAAGGGAGAGAAGAGTATGACCTCATCGGCATCAACTCAGAGCCCTGGGGAGATTCCTCCTAACCTCTCCACCTGTTGCCTAATGTGGGAAATTTTTATTAACAATGGATAAATTCTTCCATCCCACTATCAGAGATAACTGGCTCTTGACTTTCCCTAACTGTCACTGGCAGTGAGTGACTGAGTCTCATTTTCCTCATCTGAAAAATGGGAATAATATTTGTATTGCCAGGTTGTCTGTGGAAAGAATTTTATAAGCCTTAAAGAATTATGTGATTATGAATTATTACGATCATTGCTAGTCCCTATATGAGAGCCTCTGTTTCTTCATCTGAAAGAGGAGAAAGCTGGACCAGATCAGGGGTTTTTAGCCTTTTTTGTGTGATATAGAAGCAATCTGGTGACACCTATGGACCCTTTCCCAGAACAATGTTTTTAAATGCATAAAATAAAATACACAGGCTTGCAAAGGAAACCAACTATATTGAAATAAAGATGCAGTTTTTTTTCTGAACCATCCAACTTCTCAAATGTCCTAAGACCTATCCATAGACACCTTGAGGGTGGCCTTGACCTATATGGACTCCAGGTTAAGAATTCCCAGACTAAATGATCTCTATGGCTTTAATATTCTTTGATGATATAATTCCGTGATTAGGCCCAAACCTCAGCGTGTCTCTGGGAGTAGTACCAGAGTGACTAAGAGCTAAACAGAGGTTTAAATGACAAAGTTCTTTTCTTGAGAGCAGGATTGGAGAGAGTGAGAGAGAGCAGACAGAGCTAATACTTAGAAGGGAAGGAGGGAGGGAAGAAAGGAAGGATGGAGGAAAGGAAGGAAGGAAGAAGGAAAGAAAGAGGGAAGGACCCTACTCAGCTTGGCTCCTTTCCCAGAAAACGATGGGAGCCATATAATAGAAACAAGGGACACAGCTCCCAAGAGCAACCCAGTGGTAGAATCCCTGTGATTTAGAGTGATAGGGTTAGCTTATCTCTCCTCTCTCCTAAGTCATCCCCCTCTCCATGCCTGAGTTTCATGTACTCAGCAGCATCCCCACAGTAGGGGAGGAGAGCAAAATCCTAGCCTAGAATTTTGGAGACCTAGCTCTGGACTTGGCTTTGCCTCTATAAAGTATGTAAAGTATCATCAAGGCAGATACTGATTCTCAGAATGACCTTGGGCCAATCTTAACTTCTCTGAGCCTCAGTTTACTCCTTTGTAAAATTAAGGAGTTGGACTAAATCCAGCTGGTTACAGAACATTTTTATAATTGGAATGGTGATATAATCCCAAAATTCTTCTCCTGGAGGATCTGAGTCAATGAACCCCCCTGGGGATAAAGGAGAATCAAGAGAAATTTAGAGCAAAATAAAAGGTTAAATCGGTTTTTCTATCCCAAAACAGCTGCACACAAAATCCATTGTTGATATATACATAATTCCATGTTGGTTATTTTTAAAGGTAAAAATATCCCAGCGCAGGCATTTTCTCAGAGGACTTGAGGTCATAGAGAGAGTGCAGAATTTGGAGTTCCAGAACTTGAATTTGAATTTTACTCATTTCTTCTCTTTAAGCCCATTTCTCTGCTCTGTAAAATGAGGGAGTCAGGGGGCAGTTAGGTGACTCAGAGCATAGATTACCAGTCCTGGAGTCAGGAGCACCTGTGCTCAAATGCAGCCTTAGACACTTACTAGCTGTATGACCCTAGGCAAGTCACTTAATCCTGATTGCCTCAAAAAAATGTGAGGGAGTCAGATCCCTTCCAACCCTAAGGCCTGTGATTCAGGGAAGAAGCCCTATTCACCCTTGCATGAAACAGCCTAGAAAATGGAAGTCTAGACGACATCAAGAGTCCCTTTCATTGTTAACATCCATGAAACCTGGGTATAAGTCCAGTTCTGCCACTTATTAGCTGTGTGACCTTGGTCAAGTCACCTCCCCTTCTCTAGGCCTCAGTTTCCTTATCTGTAAAATGAAGTGGGGCAAACCAAGATGATCCATTCTACCTCTAACATTCTATAAATTTACTCTGGTGCTTAAAGGGAGACCAAAACTATTGACCTCCCAGTGGTCATCTTGGGGTGATGCCTGGGGCCCAGGATTTGACTAATTTTCTTTCAATACCATTGGGGAATGAGAAGTGAGCACTTCTGCTCTCTCCTAGGATTACTGAAGTTGGAGGAGCCACAGTGCCCGAGAAATCAGAATTAGGCACTAAAGAGAGGACCTGGAGAAGGAAAAGAAACCTCAAGAAGTAGTTTAGTTTATTGGTCAAAAGAACCTTTGCCTCTCTGAAGTGGTGGGACAAGTGGCAGCCTGAAACCTGTAGGCGTAGGCAGGCATAAGTGTCCTATTACAGTGGGTGAGAAGGTACTGGATTTGGAATCAGAGGACCTGAGTTTTGAGTCCCAGTTCAGTTATATCCTATTTGTATGATCTTGGAAAAATAGCTTTCCCTTTCTGGCTCTCAATGCCATCATCTATAAAATGGGGATTTGGACTGGATTAGAGATTCTTAACCTAGGGTCCATGAACATCTAAGGAAGGTGGTCTATAAATAAGATGAGGGAAAATGACAACTCTAATTTTATTAACTTCTAGGTTTTTCCTTTCCTTCCTTCCTCTCTCCCTTCCTCCCTTCCTTCTTTCCTTCCTCCCTCTCTTCCTCCCTTCTTTTCTTCTTCTCTTCCTTCTCTCCCTCCTTCTTTCCTCCCTCCTTTCCATCCCTCTTTTCTTCCTTCCTTCTTTTCTCCCTTCCTTCCTTCTCTTCCTCCGTCTGTCCCTCCTTTCCTCCCTCCTTCCTTCTTTCTTTCTTTCTTTCCTTCCTTCTCTACATACTTCCTTCATTCTTTCCTTCCTTCTTTCCTTAGTTCCATCCTTCCTTCCTTCTTTCCTTTTTTCCTCACACAGACATATTTGTTGTGAGAAGAATTTATGGATCTCAGCAACATTTATTGAGCATCTCCTACGTGCAATGCAGTCCCAGGTCCCCTTCCAGGCTACTTTCCTGCCTGGGATTGACCCCACTTCTCAACTTATTTTTACAGATAACTGATATATCCTTAGCTCAATGAATAAAATGGGACAGGACACTGGGAGTTATTCAGAAAACCTGACTTAAAGTCCCACATGTGTCACTTACTGCCCTTGTGGCTTCAGAAGAGACATTTAACTTGACTAGACCCTAGTTTCCTCATCTAGCAAAATGGAGAGGTTGGCTTGGATGATCTTAGGTCCCTTCCATCTTTACTAGTCTATGATTCTGTGATCATTTCTAACTTCCTGTCTGAAGAAAGAACCCCAATTATGAGACACTTTTATGACATCCCCCATCCAGCCTCTTTGTGAAGTCTTTCAGTGATTGGGAGCTCCATCCATTCTTGGACTGCTGCTAATTATTAGAAAATATCTTATTAGAGTCAGTTGAAATCCCCTTCCCTCGAACTTCTACTAGTCTTCTAAAGTCTTACAGCATGAATCAAAAACCCTTTTCCATATGATAGTCCTTTAAGTAATTGAAAGGCAGCATTGCCTGGTGGATAGTGTGCTGGTAGAGTCAATGAGACACAGATCACTGACACTGGAAGACTGTGACACTTGTGTAACTCAGACTGCTCTGGTCATGCCCAATTCATGTAACGGGGAGGTTCACTTACTAACTTGGATCAAAGCGGATCTTTTAACTCCCTTGAACCTGAGTTTCCTCATCCATTTTTATTTTGGGCTGGACTTGTGATTTGCTGGGGATAGGGAGCTCTCCAAACAGAACTCCCTCTACCAATGTAAATGATCACCTACCCTGTGACTTTATGGTCGTAGTCTTTGAGAGCTAATTGGCTGGGGCATAGAGAAGTACTGAGTGACTTGCCCAGGGTCACAGAGCCAGTGTGTGTCCAAATAGGACATGAACTCAGTTCCTCCTATCAGCTACAACATGCTGCCTGTCACTTCCTCATCCACAAAATGGGAATCGTAATACTTGCAGATCATCTCTTAAGGTTGTTGTGAGGCTCAAATCAGATCATGTAGAGAAAAAAGTGCTCTAGAAACTTGAAATCACAGTATAAATATCAGATACTGTCACATGAAAACAGCATTTATGACACTCCCCTAAGTCTCCTTTCCAGGTTAAATATCACCAGGTCCTCTACCTTCTGTCAAATAACATCATTTCCAGACTCCTCACCCACCTCCATTTTGGCTTCTGGCCATGTTTCAATTTATCAGTGTCTCTCTTAGAGTGAACACAAGGCTTCAGATGGAGTCTTGAAGCCTAGAGATCCCTCAAGAGTAGGAAGGACATTCTGTGACTAATCGATGTCTTGTCTATTTTGCAGGTCTTGGTCTACAAGGAGTACTCACCCATCCCTGAAATATCCAGGAAATTCAGTTGGTGGTGGTAAGTTGTTAAAACTTTTCTTCCTCCTCCGTCCCTGGAAATAGAATTGTTTCTTTCTTAGAATTGCTGTTCCCCATTTATAGCCTAACCTTCTCCCATCTATTTAGCCAACTTATGCCTTCCCCCCATAGAATTCAGCCCAAAGCTCCCCTTGTCCAAGAAGCTTCCCAATTCACTGTGCCTAGAACTGGCTCCTCCTTTATTTCGAGTCTCCTTCGTGCTGATATACTCAGATGCCACTAGATTCTTTTGTAACCACTTAAGTGTTATTAAGCCTTTGGGGAAACTGTGGTATAGTGAAAAGAATATCAGAGGATTTCAAGTCAAAGGGTCTGGGTTCAAGTCACCTACTTAGTTTCCTCATCTATAACATTTTATTATATACTATGCAATATATACTGTATTATTATTATATTTTATTATAACCCTTCATTAAGGTATTGGACTCAACGACCTCTAAGATTTATGATTCTTTGAGTAGGGACGTATGCCATCTCCATTCCTTCATCATCTGGGAATTATGGAACGGCAGGGTATAGCAGAAAAAGCACTGACTTTATATTCAAAGGATCTAGGTTAAAATTCCACTTTTGTTACTGCTTGTGTGGCTTTAGGTAAGTCACTTAAAACCTCTGGGCTTGTTTCCTCATCTGTAAAGAGAAGAGCAGTTAACACGGCATAGTCGAAAGAAATTTGGCTCCACAGTCAAAGGCCCTAGGTTCTAATTCTGCCTTTGATGCTTACTACCCGTGGGACCTTGGATAAACATTTTGAACCTCCCTGAGCCTCGATTTCCTCGTGTGTGAAATGAAGAACTTGGGCTAGGTGACTTCTGAGGCCCCTCCAGCTCGAAATCTACGAATTTATGTATGACCCCTTTCCAAGAGTTCCTACAATCTCCTGGTATCTTACATGGCGGTTTAGATGTTCAATGCTTATTATGCAAGTGGACTGAACTGAACATAGACCGCCCAGCGTGGGTAGTTATTGCCTAATTCCTTCCTTAATTATTACTCCTTTCCTTTCTTCCTTTCCCCCTGAGCCACTGCTACCCTATCCCCTCTCTCTCATCATCTTCCTCAAGTGAAGATGTCCTTTTCACCATCAGCTTTGCCTTGGGCACTCAGTCTGCCTTCTAGAGATGTAAGCAAAATGTCATCTTGGTGCAATTAATTGTGTGATCATGGACAAGCTATTTATAATACCCATAATATCTGCCCCACAGAGTAGAGAATCAGTTTTGATTTTGAGAATCAATCAGGTTTTGAGAATCAACTATGTAGCACAGCGGATAGAACACTGACCTCGAGTCAGGAAGACTTGGGCAAATCACTTAACCTCTGTTTGTCTCAGTTTCCTTGTCTGTAAAATGAGGATAATGACCTTCCAGGGCTATTTGGAGGATCAAATGAAATAATATTTATAAAGTATTTTGTAAACTTTAAAACACTATGTAAATGTAAGATACTGTTACTTAAGAGCAACTCCCAGATTTGGGACGAGGCTTGCACTTTCAACTGTATCTGTGCCAGTGGGTCAAGTAAAAGACCAAACCACCTCTGACCCTCAGATCTATTTCTGTCAGTCAGCATAGCCTCTGTGAGCCTAGAAAAACGGCTTTATCTCTGGGTCTAAGCTTTCCCATCTCTAGGAAGAGGAGAATCAAAACAGACTAATTGATAATAGAAGCGAAAAATGCGCTTATCTATCAACCTCAGTAAAAACACAGTACTTTGTGTATAGTGGATGCTAGATAAATGTTTGTTGGATTGACAGAGGCACGACAGCTGAACAGAAAGGGGGGTGCACCTGGAAGTGAGGGGAGGTTGAACAGAGAGAGAGATGAATGTGGGAGGTTCTCTTAAAATAGGAGAAGGATATGACTTGTCAGAAAAGAAAGGAGAGAACACAGGTCAGAGAATAGTGTGCCTGATCGCCCAAGAATGAAGCAGGGGCAGTTCGTGACAACCAGGTTTTTTTGCAGAGAGCAGAGAGTCTTAGCCAGGCTGGAACAAATGAGGACAGTTAAATAAAAGAGGTTTGTTTGTTGGGAGAGAGAAGCAAGTTGCAAATACAAAACTTCTTCAAAATGTTTTTTCTATAGTAAAAGGTATCTTAAGCCCTCAGCTCCAGCCCTCCAGGTGTGGAAATTATTATACCTGGATGGAGATGTAGGTGACAGACTGTAAGCTCCATTCCTATAGATTATAGGATGTCAAACCTTGGAGATTATTTTGCCCAATTCATTTTTTAAAATAAATTTTATTGATTTTTTTTGTTTTTATATTCACTGTATTTCCCAGTGTACGCATCCCTTTCCGCCTCCCAAAGGGCTATCCTTTGTAAAAATAATTTTTAAAAGGAGGGGAAAAAATTCAGCATAACTAAGCAATATATCAAAAAAAGTCTAACACTATGTTCATTGTTCCCCAACCATAGCCTACTACCTCTGCAATGAATGGGAAGAGATGCCTGCTCAAATCCCTTCTTTGAGGTCAAGTTTGGTCATTATATCTTCTCGGCATTCACTTTGGATTGTTGCATTGCCCTTGTTTTTTAAGGGGAGATCTTCCATTTACATTGTTGTAGTTATTGTGTAGGCTGTTTTCCTAGTTCTGCCTATTTCACTTTGCATCAATTCATATACATCTTCTCATGCTTCTCTGATGTTATCATATCAATTGTTTGTTACAGCACAGTAATATTCCATTACATTCATGTACCACAAATTTTTTAGCCATTCCTCAGTCAATGGGCATCTATTTTGTATTTGATAATACAATAAGTATCATTATATATATTTTATATATTTGGGATCTTCATGTTTGTCATTGACCCCATAGGGTATAGGCAGAGCAATAGAATCTCTGGGTTAAAGAGGATGGACATTTTTGTCACCTCCTTTGCCCCATCTTCCAAACTGGGCCACGGAACACCACTCCTGGGAAGAGCTAAACCAGTGGGCTCTGTATTGCCTGGGGCCATGCATCCTTATCTTCACCTCAGCCATTTTCTGCCCTGCCTTCTCTCTCTCCTCAATATACCCTCTTCTGCTTTTCCATCCCTTGCCCTACGAATTGTATCCAAATCACACTAGTATTACCTCTGGAAAGGTCATGTCAGTGGATTGTCCCATTAATCCATTCACAGTTTCTGTGATTTCCTAGACCATAAATGCCTTGGCTATCATGCCCCTATATTTATTGTTCTTTCCATTAGAATGTAAGGTCCTTGAGGGCAGATACTATCTCAGTTTTGTTGGGCACCTTTGTTGTTCAGCCATTCAGTTGTGTCTGACTCTTCATGATTCCATGGACACCAGTACTGTCCACAGGGTCTTCTTAGCAAAGATACTGCACATTTTCCCCTCCGATGAATTAAGGTAAATGGGGGTTAAATGACTTGCCTGGGGTCACAGAGCTAGTAAATGTCTGAGGTCAGATTTGAACTCAGGACTTCCTGACTCTAGGCCCAGCACTCTATCCACTGAGCCACATAGCTGCTCCTGTTGGGCACATAGTTAATACTTAATAAGTACTTTTCATTCATTCATAATTTGAAATTGCTTTCCAGAATGGACCAATGGACCAATTCACAGCTCTACCAACAATGTTTTAGTTTACTTGTCTGTCTACAACCTCACCAATATTGACTATTCCAATTTTTTATCATCTTTGACAGTTTTCTGGGTATGAGGTAAAATCTCTTATTAACTCATTTTATGTATGCAGAAACAGAAAGTTAGGAAACAGAAATACTTGCTCAAGGTCACACAATTTGTCAGCAACAGAACTGCTCCTAGCACTCATTCCTCTTGCTTCCCAGGCCAGTGTTCTTCCCACTACACTCCCCCACCCATTTGAATCCTCTAGCATCAACTTAGGTGATAGAAAAAGCCACCATGGAGGCAGGATGTTACAGTGAAGAGGATGACCAATTTGGAGTCAAAGGACCTAGATTCAAATCCTGGGTAACTCACCACCTCTATGAGCCTCAGTTTCTTCATCTGTAAAATGGAGTTGAACTAGAAAATTTCTAAAGCTCCTTCCAGTTCTAAATCTATGATCCTCTTAAAATTTCTTACAAAATCTTAAAATAACAACAAATGTGCGTAGAGCTTATCCTTTTCCCAGTAGCCTATATATTTCCAAACATTCCTCCATGAGCCCCCTCCCCTAGATCCACCCACAAGGGAGGTGTTCAAGAATGCCTGGCCAATTTGGAATTTTCCATTGGAATTTTACCTCTACCCATATGTTTCCCATCCTCCAGCATGTTGGCATTTTGAGGACAGGGTTTTCAGTGCGTTCTCCCAATCACCATCTCTCTTTCACTTCATTCCTCCCCCTACCAGTCCAGAAAAGAGGGAGCCACTGCTGTTTGGGGAACATAATTGCACCCTAGGGAACCACATGGCCCATTTTAGCTTCCCAGAGACCCAGAGCTGTCAGTAGCAAGGTAGGTAATGGCCATCTCCTCACAGGGCAGGCACAGCACTTCCTCATCCAGAGACAGGATTGTTGCCACTGGGGATGGAAGAGCTGGGCCAGTCTAGTCTGGGAGGATTCCTGCATCCTTCTGAGGTTAGATTAGATGACCTTTAAGGAGCGTTCCTATACTAAGGTTCCATGAATCCCTGACTTGAGTGGTGTCATTTGTCTCCAGGACCTTACCATCCTGCCCCCTGAAATGCTCTGCTCTCCCCAACCTGATACCAGCATCTTTAGTCTCTTTCACTCTCTCCTCCCTTCTCTACCAAAAACTGCTTTTGGATTACTGTTGGAAAGGACCTGATAAACTTTTTCATGAAAGGTGTTAATGACTGATGCACTTTAATGTACAGTAGATGGTTACATTTACACATATTTATTGATAACTTTTGTTTTTAACATTACTTGGATTTCTCATTATATCCCTCTTCTTGCACCTTCTGGAGAGTCATCCCTTATGCTAAAGAGAAAAAAGAGAAAAACTGGTTCAGCAAAACTAATGAATGTATT